AAATAAATTAATAGTACAAAACAGTTCTGTAGTACAATGTTATAATATCATATGAATAAGTCTTAGGTATTAAAAACAAAAAATAATGGTAATTTTCAACTGAAGAAATATAAAAATATATCATACCCAATAGTATATTATTAAAATACAAAGGTCATATTATAACAATAATGGCTCATTGGTTGCATTCGACTACTATTCGTATATATTATAATAGTAATCTGCAATGCTGAGACTTATGATTTTTAATATTATATTCCCCGTGCCGAATTGGTATAGGACTACACCGAATGTAATAATATTACGTGCGCATCAGATATAACAKTTATGATATATTTGAACGGACAACGTGCGCAGACTCCGCAAAAATATGAATAATACCAACACGCATATTGTAAATATAATTAATAATAATATTATACAATATATAATTATTTTTATAAAAATATATATTTACTTCTGCGCATATACAATATGATATACATATTATACCTTCGCAAAATGTTAGCACTTAATAATTCCACGTAATCACATATATTTTATCTAGGTAACTATTACTCGTAATCAATTTAATATAATAACGATAATTAAAAAAATAAATATTAATTATAGTAAATAATAATAATAATAATATTTTATCTAGGTAACTATTACTCGTAATCAATTTAATATAATAACGATAATTAAAAAAATAAATATTAATTATAGTAAATAATAATAATAATAATAATAATAATAAAGTAATATAATTAACGGTGTAAAAATGGTTTTTGTCCGAATTCATCATCGCACACGCTTGGAAAGGCGATGACAGCGTGAACGTACATTATAATTTCGAAGACACTATAATATTATTTTGAACATTATTTTTCTGTACACACGTGTAATGTATGATCTTTAGTTATGACCTAATTAAACTGTAAGAACTAACATAATAATAATATTATTCCAATGTTTGAAAATCGGACTTTGGTGGGTGGGCGTRAAATAAAGGGAATACGCGGTATACGCATAATTATATCAACATATACCGTGGTCGTAATACTGATGACTTAATTCCGGTGGTCCTCCACCCGCGCCGGAAATCAAGTCTTTGTTGTAATCGTACAATTCGTCCACACAAGACCCATAAACGTTACCAACACCCCCCACGCCTACAGTTGGATAATGTACGGTGGCCATGGACGCGGCCGTCGTAGTAGCCGGCCGATGGTACACGCCAGACGGTTGGTCGGCCACTGATACCACCGGAGCGTAACCAACGCCGCCGTTAAACATGGCGTCTTTAAGTACCGGTGGATCGACGGCYACATGGTTGTGTTGGCGATAAGGGTCGTTCGCATAAGGTTCCACCGAGTACTGCTCTTGGAGCTGCTGCTGATGTTGTGGTTGATGCTGGTGGTGCTGCTGTTGGTGCTGTTGATGATGTTGGTGAGGGTGCCTTTTGGCACAAGGGTGCGCCGAGAGCATCTTCATCAGTTCGTTCCTCTGCGTTTCCAGATCCTGGATCTGCGACTTTAGGTCGTAGTTTTTCGTCTCCAACACGTTCGATTCCTGAGAAAGTATACAAAAGTCGGTTACAATAACGTCGGGTTGAGTCATTATAATAATATTAGGACATTAGATACACATACATATTATTATTTAAAATTTAATTCTAAGCATATTAGAATTGCAAGCGTGTTTCTACAATACCAAAATAATATGTATAATATAATAGCTTTAGAGTTTAGAAGAATTAAAAAAAAGCTATAATTTCATTACGAAACTATGCATAATTATGCATCATTAACTATCAGTAATTTTTCCCGCATTTCCTTTCGATCAACATACATTTAATACATCTTGGATTGTTCAGATTTGGTCAGCAAACAACAATTAATACTAGAGTCGGGTTTTGTTATGCCATGTTACGTAAAGGTTATACGYATGTGCGTAAGATATTTAAACCTAATTGGTGTAATTATGTAGATGGAAAATAAGTATAACAATGCAGAATTCAAAAAATGGCGATCGCTTTTAAGATGGGATATCTAAAGAAATCAATATAAATTTGTAACAGTAACGCAATACATTTGGATATGTCGGAGAGGTAGGAAAAAACGTATTGACATGCTATAATTTCAGCAGATTAACATTTTGCTTTTTTAACATTTCTACGATTTCCAACAATAAAATGTCGTGCCAAAGCTGATGTTTATGTACAATATTAATTGAGAAAAAGACAATTTGCTAAGTAAACRTGCGTTTCAATTTCCTCGATTTCGATTTGTATTGAACTTGACTACAGATTACAGTATACATATATACAAACCATGCATAACACGTGGT